GCGCTGCCCAGCAGCCTCCGCCCCCCTCTGGCCCCGGATCAGCGCCGACTCCTCACCCCCACTTCCGAGGCCCACCGCACCCGGAGACCCCCTCCCCCCAATCCAGCGCCAGACGCTCTCCTTTCGCAGCTCAGCTGGATTATCTCATCGCCTCGCGCCCTTAGGGGCGGGCCGGGGTCTGCCCCTCGGAGGACGTGGGGGGAGGATCAGCGGAGCCCCTCCGCGGCTGCAGTCCCCTCCTGAGCGCCTCCGGGGCGCACGGCCCGAGTCACTTTTCTTTGCGCCTCTGTCTCTTCCCCTTCTGCAGGATTTCTCTCCAGGCTCGTCCTCTCCTTTTTCTGTTGGGCCGGCTCTTCCGGAGCCCACCCCCGGCAGCGGCGGCGGCGGCGGCGGCAACAACGACCGCGGCCTCTGGATTCCGACAGACGCGGGGGCACCTTTTTACCCCCTGCCCTGGTTTTATCTGTTTCTTCTCTCTTTCCTTCCCCAGCGTTCCAGCGTACCCCCCTCCCGTCCGGGTGTCATTCCTCACTTCTGAGTGACAGCCTCAGGCCACGCCCCTCCACTGGGCTGTCCCGGGCGCTCCCGGCTGCCCATTGGTTGGCTCCCGCTGGGCGACGTTGCCTAGAACAGACAAAACTGGGCACGTTGCGCGGAGAAAGTCAGGGTCTGACTTAACCCCTTTCCTCCCAAGCCTAGTCCTCGAAGCATCCATCCTCCAGCAACAGGGAGGCTCACCCGCCTAGACAAACTGTCCGAGAAAACTTGCTTCTTACTTCTACAGATGTTATCTGCCTATTTGAGCACTTTTATGGAACACGATATTTAGTTGAGTTAGATGGCGACGGGGGGACCCAAGATAACGCAATTCTGTAAATCGCGCGCATAGTTTCTGTTCTCTAGGAAGGTTTACGAGTTCGAAGAACAAAATGTTGCTTCTTTTCCCCTTACAGTTTCTCGGCTTCCTCACTGTTAATTCTTTTCTCTGAAATAATCAGTTAATTAAAATCACTCTAGAAATATTTTTCTTTCCTCTCCGAATTTTATTTGACTCAATTTCTATAGAGGAATTAAAAAGAAGAAGATGGTACAGATAGAACTAAAGTTAGGCGAGAAATTGGAAGGCATCTTTGGGAGAGTTTCTGGAAATTGCGCGATCATTTCCCTGGGTGGTCAATGCTGAATTTACTTGGAGTTTGTTAAATTTTACACCAAGAAGAAAATGAAAAAAAAATCAATTTGTTCTTTATTCTGTTACTGGTGAGTTGAATAAGATTAGAAAAAGATATGTTTTTTGTTTAAAAGACTATCTGGGAATTACCATAGAAAAGATCCCCACCTAATGACAGTAATGCTCTTTAAAAAAGTTATGCATTGTCTTACGTAGTAGAAGGAGCCAAGCTAAGAAACACAAATATTGTGGGTATATCAAAACATTTGTTACTTATTTATATTATTTGTTTTCAAATAAAAAGTTTGCTCAAGTAACATACTTTACCGTCTTCCATAAATTTTTACCAAAGGTTTGACTTAAAACCAAATACACAATTCAAACCATTAAATAAGTTTAGAGAACTGTGATTTTAATTTAGTAAATGGCTGGGATTGGTGTTTTTGGTGCCACTAAAAGAAATGACATTCGCTCATGCAGCTTTCTTTTTGGTGGTTCTTGTTCTGCACCGCAGGATGAAATACACACGCTAGCTGTAGTGTTCAGGGTCTGTGTGTGGGGGGAGTCTTCACAGCATCTGTATTTTCTAGCATTTCAGCCACGTGATGCTCTTTTGCATCCAAAATACACTACAGTGCAGGTTCTGTAGTGTATTTGGGGGGAAAAACTCACCCTTGAAGAGGTCATTGCCCTTTTATAGCTCTTTACAGGCTACTTCAGTTTTGAGGGAAAGTGTTTAAATTTGGTGTCAGTAGGCGGCAAGTATAAGGAACTGGACGCCCTTCAGGCCCGGTGGGGAACAGAACAGAAAGCTTACGAGGTTTCAAAAGAAAGCTCTTCTTTCCTTCCTCCCGCTGACCTTCATTTATCCTCTAAATTATCCCCCTCTCCCACCACCTTGTACAATTTGCTGTTACTCTCTTGGGGCGAGCTGAGGAGATTGATTGACACAGGTTGCTCAGAAGATGAGAAACGGGCAGGTGTGAACTGTGTGTCCCTTTGTGGGGTTAGGACTTGGTGTGGACAAACTAGAATGAGTCTGGACACACAGGCAGGCAGAGATGCTTGGAGGTTGAATGACTGAGTATGAGAGTAAGTTTGGGGGAGTTACACAAATGCTTGAAATATAATCACCACTTACCCCCAACTTTTTTTTTAAAAAAGGAACCCCAAATCAAAGTAGAATATACTCCTTGCCACAAACTTGGGCAGAGGTTTTCGAAGCTTAGAAAAATGCGGTTTGGTGATTTTGAGTTG